CCTGCTCCATCAATCCTGGGATGTATTCTGTGAAAAACATCTTCAGCTGCGCATAATCCTCCCCGAACGTGTCGAAGTATATCGCATCATACGTCTCGCCAGCCTCCAGAAGCTGAGGCACGATATCCTGCCATCTGCCGCGGTGCACCTTGAAAGCTCCGTCCTCAGGCCCGTTCGCCTCCCACGCGGCGCCAAAGTTTGTGCCGCCGTTGTCGATGTGCGCCAGCACAGCCGGATGCGCCTCGATAATATGGTGCCGTGCCGGCTTGGTATCCGCGAACAGGCCATCGATGATACCCATCCCGAACCCGATGTTGAGCACGCGCTTGCCCTCGGCGAGAGCCGGCTCGGACGCGGAGGCACGGAGCCAGAACATCGACAGAGCGGCGCATGATGGAAGTCTCCCACGCCATCATGACGCCGTTGCCCTCGTCGTCGACGAGCTTGACGTCGTCGTACGTAAGGTCCGAGGCGAGGTACGCTTCCGAGTTTACATCGGGCTTGACCTCTGACTCCTCTGTCTTCTTCGCTTCCTCGTCGGCAACGACGTCGTGGCCGTTGGCATCTACGAGCTCAGGGGCCTCATCGCCATCTTCTTCTTCCTCGACGATTTCCATGTCGTCGACCGAACCTGAGGAAAGCTCCTCGTACTCGTCCAGCAGGCCGAAGAGGAGCTCGGCGCGGACACCTGCCTCGACGCAAGCGCGGTAGAGAGAAGGGTGGCCGAGGCGGTCAGCGACGCAGCCGGGGGTCTCGTTGTTGCAATCTACATCATTCCAGATGGCACCAGCAAGAAAGAGTTCTTGGAGGGTATCCTTGGCCTCATCGGCGGCGGTGTTGTCGGCATCCGGGGAGGGGTCGGCAGGGCCACAGGCTCGGATGGCGGCATGAAGCGGTGCCTCGCCGGTTTCAGGATCCTGAAGGCTCGCCTTGCCAGGGGCGTCGAGAAGGGCCTTGAGGTCGGAAGTATCGTGGGCCCAGGCGTGATGGAGGATAAGCTTGACGTCTTCGGGGCACGACGCAGATATACGGGCGGGGAGGGAGTCGTCGATGATGGCCGGGGCCGTGGACGCCGAGGGCGTGTTAGCTGCCATGCCGATGGTTTCAAATCAAAACAGGATGGCGAGGTGACTGGTAGAAGTGGTGTGCGCTGCAGCAACCCAAATGTCGGCTCTCTCAGTATTGTCAGGATTGGCAAAACTTATGTTGGCGGGGTTGACCAGATTCGTGAAGCTTGGCTCAGAACCCCGCCATAATTTTTTATGACTTGCCAGTGCACAACGATGGGATACACAGCACATCCTTGCTTCCAGAGGAGGGGGTGGCCTCGCTACGAGCTTAGCCCAGGCCCCTAAGGTGCCCCGAAGCTGGGTGACCGGCACCTCGCAGCGACCTGCACCTGCACCTCAGCGGATGGCCAGAACAGGGTTGTGTACACGTGCACATGTGTCTCACCTGATTGGCCAATCCACCGGTTGCTGGTTGACGGAAGTGGGGCACGGGCATGTGAGAGCTTCAGACCCAGAGCTTCATCGTCGAATTGGCAGCCTCCATCTGAGGGAGGGAGGTCCTGCTTTAAGCCTGACTTGGATTAACTTCGTTTTCCCAATCTTGCTGCCCTGCGCCATTCACGCCAGACTGCCATTTCGTCGTCCGAGTCTGCGTCAAGGCCTGGCAACCCCCATTCCGCCTCGACTCAAAACCTGGCCCTTGCGGCTTTTCGTCGCCGTCGCTCCGTCATTGTTCACTTCTTCCTGCCTCCCGAACAGGTACTTTCAGTCAGCATCCCGGCCAGGCTTCGTGCTCGCCTTCGCTCTTGCAGCCCCATGCTAATTGTCCAAGACCTCAGGACCCGACAAAGATACTGGAGGTCAACCCGACTCCGACGCCACGATATCCCCTGGCGCGCACCCCCAGGCATCATCGTCATGAAGTTTGGCGAGCAGCTCCGCTCGAGCATCATTCGAGAGTACCAGTGGTACTACATCGACTACGATGTTCTCAAGAAAGAGTTGAAGAACGCGACCGGTCCCTTTCTGAACGATACCGACAATGGCGAGCGCCGCCGCGACTGGACCGAGGAGGACGAGACACGCTTCGTGAAAAAGCTCGAGGTTGAGCTTGACAAGGTCCACACGAAGCAGCAGGTGAAGGCCATGGAAATCTCCAGGCGCATCGCCGTCAGCGAAAAGGAGGTACGCAGCGTCGTCGCTCGCCTGCTTGAGCGCGGCCCGCAGGAGGCTGGCCCCAGCGAGGAGGAGTTCATGCTGTTGGAGGAGGCCCTCAGTGATGTCATCGCCGACGTCCACGACCTCGCCAAGTTCGTGCAGCTGAACTACACTGGCTTCTACAAGATCATTAAGAAGCACGACGTAAGGACAGGAGACCTTGGGTGGAATGAATCCTGTGTACTGACGAATACAGAAAATGACTGGCTGGCACCTGAAGCCCGCATTCGACACCCGTCTCAAGGCCAAGCCGTTCTACAAGGAGAACTATGACGCTTCCGTCAGTCCAGCTGTCCAAGCTCTACGATCTTGTTCGAACTCGCGGCAACCCGAAT